TCATAGAATTAGACACTAGACTGAATGCTCAACAACTGCTATATAGCTACCGTTAAACATATCGCGATTGGTTACTTTGTAGGAAGCTTTTTCTTTGATTTGCTGGTGGGAACCAGAGTAGCCTAACATTCAATTGTGATGAGTTGCGTAATAAAAACAAATGAATAAATAATAGCTTACTTAATATTATAATAGGATATGTGACTGCTAGAAAATCTGAATCTCCTAAAACAACGTTTGTTAAAACTAAGGATAATTTTGCAAGAAACAACTGCCTCAGTGCATGGAAGTGCAAACTCTTCATACTGAATACAAAACTATTCTCTAATTGTTATCTAATACTTGTACGTTCATTTTTTGAGTGACTACATAACACAAAAGCTAAAAGTTTATTAAAAATAGTTTATAGCCCCTCAGCAAATAGTTACAGCATCATACAATATCAGTTCAACATACACACGTAATGGAGACTGGGGCTTGTCACGATTAGAAGTCTCAATAATTATATGGTTTAAAAGTCAAATTACACAAATGCTGTTTTTTTTTTTTTGTAGCAATGTTTCTGTAAGTTGGTTTCAGCTACCGAGTTCAAAAACTACTTCTATCTTCCGAATTTACTAGCTACTGGGTGAACACTTTTAGCATTTTATTACATTCATGTAATCATTGTAGAGTCTGGACCAATCAGACCAATCAGACACACCACCTTTCATTAGATTTAACAAATCAATTATTCCTTAGATTAACAAATCGTCACAGACCCCTCACCCAATAAACATACTGGGTGCCAGGTTGTCTGCGAACGACACCAGGCCCCTGGTCACCATGGCAACCAATGCTGATATCACTGGTTTTATTGCCCAAAGGAATGTGGGTAGAGGAAATCACTACCTTTTCCATAGGAAGAGACACAATGCACAGTAAAAATGGACTCTTCTCTAATTAATTCATATTCATATTTCCCCTTGAGCTGATTCGCTACATCATTTAGCAGCCGCTTTTATCCAAAGCGAGGAAAATAGAAGCAACCAACAAAAACTTCCAGGCAGGTGTGCTGAGGCAAGTTGGAGCTAAACTCTGCAGGACAGTGGCCCTCCAGGACCTAGTTTGGACACCCCTGGGTTAGGGTAAGGGGATAGAAAATACAATTTTTACAACAGAAAAACCATTGCACCTAAGGAGAGTCCCTGTAAACCACATATTCAAGTGTGTGTGTTTGTTTGTGTGTCAATAGAAGCAGCGCATTTATATAGAACGGTGATTAAACTGACTCAGACCTGTGCATTAAATGGTTTTAATGTACACATGCCAGCCAATCAGAATCTAGTATTCAGACAAACCATAGTATAATAGTATATGATTCTTTAGAAAGAAAAAAAAAATAATTATAATGTAACACTGAACAATGAAATACAGCTTATTGTGAATTTTTCAATAAAAAAGTCAGGAACACAGAAACATTTTACAACTGTAACTTATCTTAACTTGTCTTAGAAAAAAAGAAAGTTGAAATAACTTTATACATAATATTCTCTTTTAATTTTGAAATGGGTTGTTAAAGCTCTGCAAATGTCTTGACCGGTGACATGATCAGGGATTGCCAGCTCTTCATAACCCCCTTCCTGTCCACTTCATCTTCCATGTTTTCCAGTACATCAGACTCCAGCATTTCACTGCTGCACAGAAAGCTGGGGCCTGAGTTCTTATGAAGTCGTGGTGTGAACAAGAAAAGATCTGAGATCACTTCAGTGCTGAAGAACACCAAAAAAAAAAAAAAAGAACTGGGTTCTCTTTTGAGTCCACTATATTATGAATACCAAAAGGACTGAGGTCACTTTCAGCTGGTTCCCTTTCTGGTTCACTTTAAGTGAACTGGGTTTGGTTCTTTTAAAACGAACTATATGTGAAAGCACCTTAAGAATAGAGAACGCTAGTATTAGAGCAGTGGTGCCCAAACTCGGTCCTGGAGGGCCGGTGTCCTGCAGAGTTTAGCTCCAACTTGCCTCAACACACCTGCCGGACCGAGTTTGGGCATCCCTGTGTTAGAGAGTCAAGTTTTGTTTGTTTTTTTTCCCAAAGACAACGATTAGATAGAATAGCAATATTCTGGATGGTACTACAACGTGCCGTTCACTTGCAGAACTCAAGCTTCTGGAGGGCAGTCTGAAGTAGTGAGTTTAGGTAAAGGGGTGCAGAGCCAGTGGCAAGTGGCTATTAGAAGCCAGTTATTAATTACTAATTACAATATATACATTTTACTTGAGGAAAAATGACTTGTATTCAGCTAAACTGTTACAAAAGTTTATTTCAAATAAATACTATTCTTTTGAATTTTCTATTCATCAAGCAATCCTGAAAAAAAGAAGTGTATCATTCATGGTTTCCACAACAATATTAACCAGCACAACCAAGGAATGTTTCTTGAGCAGCAAATCTGCGTATTAGAATGATTTCTGAAGAACCATGTGACACTGAAGACTGGAGTAATGATGCTGGAAATTCAGCTTTGCCATCACAGGAATAAATTACCTTTTAAACATATTAAAATAGAAAACCGTTATTTTAAATTGTAATGCTATTTCACAATACGACTATTTTTACTGTATTTTTAATCAGTCAAATGCAGCCTTGGTGAACATAAGAGACTTCTTTCAAAAACATCGAAACTGGGCTGACACTAACAGAAGAGTTTTGTGGACCAGAAATAGCATTAGGAACTATGTATCATGTTATAATGATTTGTTTATTTATTAAAGACGGGTTTCTGCCACAGTACAACAAATAAATTATTTGCATGAATTTGTCTTGCTTAAAAACTACTAGCCTTTGAAGTTGATGTTTGATGGTTTTAATTTTAAAACAAATCAGGAATGTTGTCAAATTTATCCATCATTATTTTTTGAGAATGTGTAAACTGCAAAGATTCATTCAGGCCATTATAACCATTTAAAGGGATAGTTCAGAAATGTTTTCTTTCTGTGTTGACTTATTTCCTTTTGAAACAGGAAGTTCAATACTTTTATTCAACAAGGATGCTTTAATCTTTAATTTTTTAAAAGTGACAGTGAAGACATTTATAATGTTACAAAAGTTTATTTTAGAATAATTGCTGTTCTTTTGAACTTTCTCTTCATCAAAGAATCCTGAAAAAAAAAAGAATCTCGGTTTCCACAAAAATACTAAGCAGCACATTTGTTTGATAACATTGATAATAAGAAAATGTGTTTTTGAGCAGCAAATCTGCATATTAGAATGATTTCTGAAGAATCATGTGACACTGAAGACTGGAGTAATGCTGCTGAAAATTCAGCTTTGCCATCACGGGAATAAATGAAATGTTAAAATATATATAAATAGCAAACAGTTATTTTAAATGGTAATAATATTTCACAATATTACCGTTTTAATGAATTGTTGATCAAATAAATGCAGCCTTGGTGAATATGAGAGGCTTTTTTCAAAAGATTATTAAAATATCTTGCCAACCCTGAATTTTTGAACAGTGGTGGAAATGTATATAACATTTTTTAATTATTTGGAAAATATTAACTTTGTTATTAAGTAATATTTTTCTACCCAATTATTAAATATAAGATAAACATATTTTAATTAAACTGAAATATATTTGTGTAGCACATTTTACAATAAATATTGTTACAAAGCAGCTTTACAGAAAATAATGCAACAAGCTATAGGCAAAGGAAAACCTAATTTTTGAAAATATGTACATTGCAAGAAAGGGGAGAAGATAATATATAGAAGATATATATATATATATATATATATATATATATAAATACACACACCAACATGTATATATTTAAGAAATATTTACATGTATATATATATATATAAATATACAGTTGTGCACAAAAGTTTACATACCCCTTGCAGAATATGCAAACTGTTAATAATTTTAACAAAATAAGAGGGATCATGAAAATCGCATGTTATTTTTTATTCAGTACCATCTTGAATGAGCTATTTCACATAACAGATGTTTATATATACTCCACAAGACAAAATAATAACTGAATTTGTAAAAATGACCCCGTTCAAAAGTTTACATACTTTCGGATTATGAAGTTTGCATATTCTGCAAGGGGTATGCAAACTTTTGTGCAAAACTGTATATTTATATATATACATGTAAATATTTCTTAAAACACGGACATGCATCAGCACGTGATGTTTACACGGAAAATAAACATCAAAAATATCTTAATTTGTGTTCCGAAGAAAAAATGTTCATTTTTGTGTGAACTATCCCTTTAAATCTTAATACTGTGTGTCATTTCCTGGATGGTCCATGACTGTTTTTATGTTTTGAGATAGTTGTTCATGAGTCTCTTGTTTGTCCTGAACAGTTCAACTGCCTGTTGTTCTTCTGAAAAATCCTTCAGCTCCTGCACATTCGTTGGTTTTCCAGCATCTTCTGCATATCTGAACCCTTCCCAACAGTGACTGTATGATTTTGAAATCCATCTTTGTTTAGGCAGTTTAACTGTTCAGGATAAACAAGGGACTCATGAACAACTATAAGAAATGACACACAGTATTAAGATTTAAGGGTATGCAAACTTTTGAACGGGGTCGTTTTTACATAGTCAGTTATTATTTTGTCTTGTGGAGTATATATAAACATTATGTGAAATAGCTTATTCAAGACAGTACTAAATAAAAAATAACATGCAATTTTCATGATTCCTCTTATTTTGTTAAAATTATGAACATTTTGCATATTCTGCAAGGGGAGTGTAAACTTATGTGCACAACTGTATATATATATATATATATGATTTATATTATATATAAATAAATATTACATATATTTCTTAAATATATACATGTATGTGTGTGTATTTATATATACATATATATATATATATGCACAGTACACACACACATCATTTAAACACAAACTTTTATTTTGAATGCGATTACTCACGATTTATCAATTTGACAGCCCTAATAAAAATATTTTTTTCTCTCAAAATTATATGCAGATTTATTTATTGTTCTTTTTCCCCCCACACTGTACATTTTGTAATTTTTATTTCTCTGAAATTTTCCATGGACCCTCTAGTGCTCCGCTGGGTGTCCATAGACACCAGTTTGAAAGCCACTTATGGAGAGTTGTCCGAAATCTGTCCACAGGTAGTCTGCAGAGGATGATCAGTCGCTACCCCGAAGTCATGCTTCTGTCAGTCAAGAGTGTAAACATGGTGTCCCGACTGCTCAGAGAGAAATGCCTCTTCACCATCCATCAGGTCACAGACATCCTCAGAGACTCACCTGAGGTTTTGGAGGAGGATTTGGCCAAGCTGGAGTACAAATTTCAGGTAGGGCTGCTATTTTTCACTAAAAGTTTTCCTGGCACTGATGACGATACAACATTTTGGGGTAAACTGTCTGTGTAAATGATGTTTCACTGTTGTGTGAGCCATTTTGGATCACTGAAGTTGCAATTTAAAGGGCAATTAGTGTTTTACAGTAGTTTCAAACTGACGCACAGCTTGTTTTCTCCCCGCAGTATGCATATTTCCGTATGGGTGTGCGGCAGCCAGAGATGGTAAAGGCAAAGCTGTTCAGGTTGTCTCTCTCTGAGCTCCGGTGTCGTCACTGTTTTCTGGAACGGAGGGGACTGTACCAGACGCCAGACAAAAAGGGCCAAACTCTCATCCTTAACCCCCCGCTCAAAGACATCCTCTGCGTCTCTGAGGAAACCTACCTGACGCAGGTCGCCATGGCAACTGCAGAGGAGTTCCATGTTTTTTGCAAGCTGATGGCAAGAGAGCAAGAGGCAGAAGGGAATACAGCAGTGATGAGGAGTTAGGGGAGGATAAAGATGATGATGATGATGATGATGACGATGGACTGCACAGGAAAAAGCGTCACTGGAACACTGGTTACAAGAAGGACAGGAAATGAGGCATTTTGTATTAAATATTCAAAATGAATAAAAACGATTTAATTCAGCAAAATTACCTAAGTATTTTTTTTTTCTCCGAGATATATGATGACAGCATTTCATGTTTTGCATAACGGACCTAACATATGCAAACCAATAGCATACTGTTTACAGGGTGGTGGTCATGCCATGTATATTATTTGTTAGTTTAATCCTCCATCTCATTTATTGCTTTATAAGCTTTTACCTCCGGATATGAGGTGAATAGTAGTGTCGAGGGACATTGAGGTAATAATGGTGTTAGTGTTAGTTTATCTGAACGGCCTGTTATGGGAAGGGTCAGCATAATTTACACCAAATGCTGAGTAACCATGGAGAGCTGAAAGAGTGTTAGTGCCGTGCGATCGTTTACGGATCTGTGCGCATCAGTGGAACGCCTGCTCTCTGATAACAAGGACAGAGTCAGGAGGTATTGATCTGGGGTGGCATTAGTCTAATGGAGACCTGGATGGAAGCAGTAGTTACTGCACATGTGGATGTGTGGAACAGGAACGTGAGTCATTTTAACACGATTTATCGATTGTTCTTCAATGCATTCGTATTTCATTGTTCCTCTTTGAACTGTTTGTCGAAAAAACGGGGCTGAAACTTAATATTGATCTGGGGTGGCATTAGTCTAATGGAGACCTGGATGGAAGCAGTAGTTACTGCACATGTGGATGTGTGGAACAGGAACGTGAGTCATTTTAACACGATTTATCGATTGTTCTTCAATGCATTCGTATTTCATTGTTCCTCTTTGAACTGTTTGTCGAAAAAAACGGGGCTGAAACTTAAAATAGTGTTTTGTTCAGTTGGAACTACGTACCATTGTTATAATGATTTGTGTATTTATTAGCGATAACAGCTTCTATTACCAGTACAACAAACAAGCACATTATTTGCATGGATTTTTCCAGCTTGTCAAACATCATGCTACTGGCATTTGTGGTTGTAATTTGTATGTTTGTAAATATATTAAGCTCATTCAATTTCACTCAAAAGTATATTTTTTTTATATTTCATATTTATCACTATTAACCCTTGGATTTGTGACAGAATGTTTTCTTGAAAATGTACAGACTCACATTTTTATGCTCAACTATTCATATATATATATATATATATATATATATATATACTTTTTTTTTTTTTTTTTTTGTATATACAGTAGCCTACTATTTTCTCTTAATTGTTTTACCACCTAATATTTTTGTATCGTATTTAGAATCACATTCTGCATGATGGTCGTTTTTAAAGAGCTCAGCAGGGATAAAAAAAAAAAACAGCAGAAAAGGGAAAATGTACGTAACTCAGTCCTTCACTAAAAGATACAATTGTCAAAGGCTTTAAGGAAAAAAGTTTAGATCTCCAGATTATTAGATCCCAGAACTAGTTTTAAATGAAT